CATTTCTCTGGGGGGAAGGAAGAGGGAAGCCTTGTGACCAAGAGTTACTCCAGGATCACATGAAGAATGAGAGATTGTGGTCCCCAAAGGGAAAAGGGGTGTGTGGGAAGCATATGATCATCATACTAATGATGGCTAGACCATCATTAAAGGCAGGGTTAGGATAGAAACTAGAGCTTCAGTCCTAGGGCAGTTCTAGAAGTTATGGTGGGGAAGAAAAATAGGTGAGTTTAGGAAAAAAACTAGTTTGAGTCTCTTAAGGAATATAAATTAGAAATGAAGATATAGCTCTGAAATGATGTTAAGTCAACTATTTCTTTTTACTTTCAGAAATATATATAAGTATTGTAAAATGAACCCCCTGCTATTGCTAATGAATGCTCCTACATATATTCTATCATTTAGTGAGGAAGTGGATCGAAAGGCATGTCTCTGGTTTCCTTGCTCCTTATTTTCTTCATGCTACAGGAGATATGCCAGAATAAAATTTTGAGGGCAGGGGGAAGAAAGCTTAAGGAAAAATTTCAAGATGGATAGAGTATTAAAAATAAGCAAATGGATGATTGTGGCAACAACTAATTATTGAGCAGTTGACATATACTAGGCATTGAAGTAAATGTATAACATTATTTAAATCTGATAACCATCCTATCAGTTAGGAACTGTTAATTTGCTTATTTTTTAAATATTTTTTTAATTGTAGATGGACACAATACCTTTATTTTATTTTTATGTGGTGCTGAGGATCGAACCCAGTGCCCTCCACATAAGAGGTGAGCACTCTATCACTGAGCTACAACCCCAGTCCTAATTTACTTATTTACAGATGAGGAAACCAAGTATGGGAGGAGTGAATAATTTGCTCTAGCTCCTGTCAGAGCTGGATAACCTCTGATCTGAGAGTCTGTGTTCTTCTCATAATGCTTATAATTAGGCCATTTAATTGTATAAATTGACTATTTTACAAGCAAAAGTATTGTTTCTGGCACATCATTTTATCCTGCATGAAATAAAGTACTTTTGAAGTTGTTTTTCTCTTCTTGTTCCCATTCCCCCAACTTTCCTTCACTTTTAGTGATAGAAGACTGCTCTCCCTGCCTTGACCCTAGTGGGTGACATGGGTCCTCTCCTGAAAACAACTCAAAGGTCCTCTGATAGTCATTTCTGAATTGCAGCTCAAATTGCTAAGTAGAGAACTGGAGTACCTAAGCATTTTAAATCTCAAGCAATAATTATGAACATTAATCATAGAAAGCTACGAAAAAGCTACAACCTTGAAGTACATCCAAAAATGTAGCTGTAATATTTAAATTGTGACCCAAGAAATTCGCTGCTGGAGGTATTTCCTAGTGGGTAGATGTGGCTCAAAGAAACAAGATACCAATATTCCTTTTTTACACTAGTTGTGCATATATTTCTTCTTCTTTTTTTTTCCCCCCCAAAGAAAGCAGCTATTGTCTTACCTTTTCCCTATTTTTACAACAACCAGCCTCATCTACTCCTACCTTCCACACAGCCAATTTGGGCTTCTCTAACTCTGAAGGTGGTATCTCATTGATAATTGGTTTGATGCTACTTCTGTTTATTACCTTAGCCCTTCCTTAGTTCACCAGTCAGCCACCGTTTGATTGTCTATGTCTTCTAATCACATGGCCAGCTGGCCAGTAGATTAATAAGCTCAGCTTTCATATCTGGGAAGTGAATATTTTCATTTTATAACAACAAACTGTGTTTTGTCAATAATGTTCTCCCAAATGGTTATAAAATATTTCTTTTCATATAATCTAGAATACAGGTCACCAAACTTTTTTTTTTCAAAACTTTTTAATCATGTATTCCTGACAGTATATTTTTTGTGGGTATATTCTAAGTATATGTATATTTGGTCATAAAATACACATATGGTACCATCATATAGCTTATAATAGTCATAGTTATATTTAGGATGCCGTTGTTAATGATAGTAGATGTAAATTCACATTTCAAATAGTCTTTTTGATGATTTTGTTATTGTTTAGCCAAAATTTGGTTGGAATTATTAGATTGTCATTTTAACTTTGAAATGTGGCTGTCAAAAATTTGATGCTAAGCCAGGGTGATGGTGCACGCTTGAAATCTCAGCAGCCTAGGAAGCTGAGTCAGGAGGACTCAGCGAGTGATAAACAACTCAGTGAGACCCTGTCTCTAAATAAAAATACAAAATAGTGCTGGGATGTAGCTCAGTGGTTGAGTACCCGAGTTGAATACCTGGTACCGAGCAGCCTGCCAAATGATACTAAAAGCCTCAGTTCTATCATTTACTTGTTATACATTGTGGTTTCCTTGCAGAAGACACTTGTAATGTCATTTGTCTGTTTTGAGGGTTTAATTAGATTAAACCTAGATAATCTAATCAGTAAATACACTTAATTTAACCCAGAAAACTGCAGTAAGTCACAACAGGTTGATGGGGGTTGACTAGATTGGATCACCACTGTCAGCCTCTGGGAATGAGTACCTCTCTCTTTTTCCTAAGGACATCTCTTATGCTGCTCTTGCCAAGGGACCATTTCATGGACCAAGAAAAGAGATGTTTGTTCTGTATATATTAGGTGAGCTTAATGCTATTTTTTTTAAAGAGCAAAGTTAAGCATAAGTAAGATTCCTTTTTTTTTTTTTTTTTTTTTTCCTTTTGCCAAGGGACCATTTCATGGACCAAGAAAAGAGATGTTTGTTCTGTATATATTAGGTGAGCTTAATGCTATTTTTTTTAAAGAGCAAAGTTAA